ATCCAATATCTTAAAAACCTTGATGTCATTAAAACAATTTTCTTTAAACAAAAAAATCTACAATTCTTATGCTTAGGAATATAAAGACAATATGATTAAATATATCAAGAAACAAAAAAGAGAGTGTCGGAGATTATTTCAATCGGACTTATTACACCCTACATCGAGTCACCACCATCCGATGGTCCGGAATCAATGATCAACCTTTAATCTCAACCGGAAAAACAAGTGTAGGTCAAGCCACACCAATAGAACATTAACCCCTTTGATCGCAAATTAAAACCCTAGGTGAATTCCCTTAGCAACTTAATTTGAGAGATAAATTTTCTTTTTGTTATACCCTAATGCCTTTAGCCATAGATCCAGTTGAGAGATGGGAGAGAGAAGAACCCCATAGCTTAAACCCTTAGGTTCTTTCACAATGTAGGAAAGAGAGATTAAAGATGAGAGAGTGGGGCGTGCTCCTTTGGGTTTTTATGAGAGAGAGGAACTTTTTTAAGAGAGATAGAAAGATAAGGTATAGAGATTTTGGGTAGAGACAATCTTTTTTTTATAGGCTTTGAACAAGATTAAGGTTTTTTAGGGTTTTTCTTGGCTTGTCTCTTTTTGTGAGATTGAATATGAACCATTGATCTTGGGTGACTTATGGGGTGAGAGATTTTAGTCTCTATTCCATAAATGGGTCATCAACATTATGGAAAGTGCTATAACATTTATCCCCCTTTTTTAAACCATTTTCCCATCAATAGAATTAAATAAAATAATTTCAAATATAATATTGAGCATAAAAAAATAATGCACAAGCCTTCTCATGCTTTTGAAAAATTCATTCAAAGATTCCTCAAGCCAATAACTTTCTAAAACACATAGCAATTTGGCCTACAAGCCAAAATCACTTATCACAAAAATAGAAAGCTTCTAAATGGGTGGGGCGTGCCACCCATGAGAGGATCTCATGGGCCCCACCATCTAGGCCATGGTCGGCCCATGTGCACAATGGTTCCTCAAGTAATTTTAAATATTTTTAAAACTCAATAAAATAATTTTAATATTTATTTGAATATTTAAATAAATATAAAATTAATATCTCTGATTTTATAAATCCAAATTTGATAAATAAAATATCTAGAGATCTATAAAAATTTAAATAATAATTTTAAAATTATATATATCATAAAACAAACATAATTAAATTCATTAGATGTAAAAAGGATCCATATAGTCTAGAAATTAAATCAATCAAATATTGGGGCATCACACCTTCAATTGTGGACTACGAATCACATTTGCTTTATCAATCGGATCCAGTGTTTCCCATGACCCACAGTCCATGCAGGGGTTCATTAGTGGGTCACCAAAGTCTGGCCGATGTGTCAAGGGGTCACAATCTCAGTCTGTGGATTTCAGGTTTTCCCTTAGAGACGGACCAAGGTCATTTAGATCTGATGTGACCATACCTCCTATGGCGTATAGGGGTATCTCTCGTACATGCATATATTTCATCCTGAAAGGTGGCTTGCTTTCTCAAAACGGTCTATCATTATGCATACCGTGTGATGGTACATGGATGAGGCTCTAGCCCCCGTCTTTGAAGATCATCATCACACATAAGGATCACACAGTCCCTCGGCAGACTAATCAGGGCATAGTCCGATCTCATCAAGGGATGACCAATTAAAACCTTTATCGGTTTATACTCTATGTCAAGGTAACATGGGTTTGTTCTAACAGACGTCAACCATAGTCTGGTATCAGTAAACATCGTTTGATTATTATGGTCCACGAGGGACCACACTCCCATTGAATTCATGTTCCACTATATCATTTCATTTTACAAGCACTCATAAGGCCTTTAATGGCTACACTCACCCAACATCTCTCACTTGGCCTTTGATGACGTTACATTCTTTTTTTCTCACTTTCTCTCATCCCCATCTCTCTCTCTAAGTATTTTTTACTTATTCTATCTCTCCCAATTACAATCTCTCTCTCAAGCATTTTTCACTTATTCTCTCTCAATACATTAATCAGTGCTTTCGTCATCAATCTTCTTACAAAAGGATTTATTAAGTCAACACTTTTTTCTCTTTGTTGCTTAGATCTCATCCCAAAAGTTATCGTAGCCCATCTTTCATATCGCATTACGAATTATGGACTTATTGTCATAGAAGATCATTATGTATCCTCATTACATGGGGTCGTATGTTCATGGGTTCAAAGGAGCTCTTCAAACAAGCCGCTCGCTTCTGTAGCCATACAACCAGCACCACACATTCGGGTTCCATGGGTGAACAACACTACAGTCTGTTGTTCCAATTGACCTGTCAAATTCTAGCAGGTGCTCCCACTAGAATATTTAGTTTATCTAGATCTTTTTCAATCTTACCTCATTCCTCAGATGATAGAAATATGGTATTTATATGCTTGGAGTTCTATGGAATCGTGGCTCATTTGACACGCATATCACCGTCGTGCTGTCGCAGAAAATCCTTACTGCCTCACAATGCATGAGGTGAAAGTCAAGTCGATTAAGAAATTTCTTAATCCATACTACCTCATTGATTGCTAAACAGCACACCACGTACTCTGCCTCTATGGTGGACAATTCCACCACATCCTGTTTCTTTGATTTTCAAGAAATTATACCCCCTTCAAGCATGAACGCATATCTAGATGTAGATTTCGTATCATCTGGATCCGTGAGATAGCTTGCACATGTATATCTGAATATCCAAGCAGCTAAAAAAACATGGGATTGTAGCAGATCTCACTCAATTATTGCACATACATCATATACATTCTTAACATTATTATGCATATATCATGAGGTAGCATAGCAAATCTCATGCAATATGTAATTCAATACCCATTGATTTCACAATATGCAAAACTTTCATGAACCACAAAGGTTCAACTACACTAGTCATCTTGGTAGTAAATCCATACAAACCAAATTATCTAATCAACATAACATATGTTAAGGAAGCCTAACAAGATGGCCTTCCTACAACATTCCCTATGGTTCAAGGTCTTAGGTAATCGTAGATTCTAAATAGTTAAAAACATGGGTCAAGGTATATTCGTATTTAAAAAAACAGTGCATGACAGTTTTTCTTCTATTTTTATAAATATCTTCAAGACACAATGCTTTTTTCTTTAATAAAAAAAATAAAACTATTGACTTGGTATATATATATATATTCATTCGCTAGCAATAGTTATATAATAGTATGACAGTTTAAAATGATTTTCATAAGGACTTAGTTGACCTTGCAAGACTATATGGTTTTCTCAAAAAGATATTCATAGACGTAGTTTTTTTTCAAATCATCCAATTTAATTTTAAAATACATGCTCAGCCTTCATAAATCATTTTACAGCATTCATATTTAATTTTCTACCAAGTCAAGTTTATGACCATAAAAACAAATCATATATACCATCTTATTATCCAAAATAAAGCATTACTAAAGAATGGTTACTAAAGCCTTGACAAAATACTTTTTTTTTGGTAAATATAAAGAATTTATCAAGAGATCATCGTCACATACAACACATCATATTATTGACAGTATTGGGGAGGATGGTTACTAAGACTGAGTTCCATCAGAACACTCCATTCGTGCTAACATATTTGAATGAGCCACACCCATCTCTCGTGTTTCATCCTTAAGGCTCAAAGCCCTTGATCAAATCACAACTTCATGTGTATTACTACCTTAAG